TGTATGTTAGACTTTTTTATCTTTCCCATTAAATCATAAAATAGTTATCGACAAATTTTGTTTCTAGAATCTTTAAGCCACCTTAAATGTTGTAATTTTACAGATGCGGCCTTATTTAAGGCGGGGTGAATAAACATTTTCTAGGGCAACATGTGTTCCATTCTCGACCACATTCTAAAGAAAGATTGTAGTAAAACGTAAGCAATGAAAAAATGTATATCAAAATGTACAAAATAATACAAAATGAGTTCTTTTCTCTAAAGTTAAATACGACGACGTATCCTAGAAAGCCTGCGAGATACGAGTGATGTCGCGGTCGTAGAGACACACATGGCAGTTGACATTTGTATATTTTCCCCTTTTGTGTCCGCCCGGGCTAGCGCTTTTAACTATAGCCATTGACCTCTGACAGCTAATATCCGAATTTGGAAGGACAATTTTGTGACTTGTTTTTATAGTTTCCGATAGAACATTCTTATGTTTGACAGTTACACAAGGATTTTTAATTAAATTCTTTTACGTTTATTGTTTATGTATCTGTATCGTCTACACAGATGACCTTATTACCGTCACCACCGCATACTATACACACGTAACTTTGCGGTGGTGCCGGTAATAAGGATGGCTTCATTCAGTGTCTGCTGAGCCCTGTCTCTCAATATCATCAAGTCTCTCAATCGTAATAGCACTAACAAGCACGGTAAGAATACTTTGCAGTCCTCGTGTATAGTACACAGGTTTTTTTTTAAATTATGAGATCAGGTAATTATTGTAACCTTTTGGCACATCGTTATTACATTGCCACACAGCCTCCATTATTCCCTAAATGACATGCTGAAGATGGTTGTTTGCCGTCATTAAACGGTTTAGGCAATAAATAGACTCGATTTACTGTCAAAGGTCATCTTAGAATGGTTGTTTTAGAGTAGCCATTAAACTCGGCGTTTATCCACAACAAATAAAGCTTGAGCTTTTTAAGGATTACAAACACATTTACGTCAACAATTTATTTTATAAAATGATTACACATTATGTTGTTAAACGTTGATAGAATAAGAATATTGTAATTTCTTTAAATCACAGATATGGCAGTTTGAAGTTTAAAAGTGTTACTCACTCTTGATTTATTTCCAAAACTTATAATGTCATGTAACTCCAGACATATTTATTTATGTTTATATGTTGTATTTTTTTGGCTGATCTAAGAGGTTACACTTTAGGAACCATTTAGTACAGTCAAGAGCACATCAAGCTTGACCCTTTGTACTTTGGACCGTTCTTATCGTAAGCGGCATAGAGTTGGATTTAAGCCTTAAGTGTCAAGCTTGACATGATCTTGACCCTATACAAATAACTCATTTTTTGATAATTTTGTGGATTGGATCCTTTTTGTTTAACTACGTCCAATTAGGTTATAAAGGTAAATTTATTACTTAGCTCTTACATTAACAAAATGTTAATGATGCCGTTGTATTACCTGTGTATTATGGTATTGCGATTGTATCGCGTAATTGCTTATCATTATTATTACAAACACCTTTGACATCAAGTAAGGTTGTGGTCAATTGCTTCTCTATAACTAATACTATAATATAACCAATACAAAAAAAAAATGGCATTTTTGGGTGTTTTGTTACATATAAAACACTAAAGCAGTCATTCACTTTTTACCTGATTTGATTTTTGATTATAGGCCGGCAATTCACCACAATCATACCGATCCGTCCTACGTAAAGTATCACATGTCGAAATTGCCAAGTTCACAGGGGAGCGTTTTAATGATCTGAATTCACTGAAATAAGCATAATACGTCACTTTAGCATTTTTCAGTTTCATTCGGCAAAGCTCGTTATTCACATAGAGTATTATAAAATCCTATATATCGGGTAGATGATCTATGATGATCTATTAGATGATCAGTTTCGATCACAATCGATACTTGAAGTCTCACGTGACCATTTTTTAATTCAAGGTGGAACACGTGCAAATGTATTATTGTTTTAAAAAGAAAACATATGTTTGTGTAGTTACAAAATGAACAATTATTAAAAAAATAAAAAAGAATTTGTAATATTTAATGATCAAAAGTTAAAATAAGAAGCAATCTTGTGTAGTCTGGTGGGCTGGCTTTATATATTATACCTTAGAGAACGGAAAAAAATAAAATAATATTTTACAGACGAGCAGATTCATTTTATTTTGTCAGATTTAGTTTTTAAATACGTACCACCGATTCATTCCCGCCAAAAACACAACTATGTAAAAGGCGCGGGCGACATGGCCTACTTGCTGCTACGCTTTCGCGCTTTTCTTTTAAATATATTGTCGCGTGTGTCTTGTTTAGTCAAAGTGGGATATTTTTAAGTATTTTGGGGATAGCGGGACATAAAGCTTAAAAGCGGAAATGTCCCACTCAAAATGAGACGTATGGTCGCGTTATTGATGTCACACTTCAGTGCACCTATTCTGGAATAACACACTCACTCTTGTTCTTGGTCTCGGACTTGTTGCAAGTCTTGCAATTAACGACATACTGCTACTTATTAAACTCTATTAATCTTACGAAAAGTGACAATGGAGTTTAGTCCAGATTTTAGAACAATGCAACAGAGTACGTTTTGAGTGCATATTAACATAGGTATAGTCTTCTCCTTGTTTTTATCATACCAATAGCATACATTATACTATTGTGATCCAGAACTCAGCTACATCGACTGAGTCATTACAAGCGGCCATGAAATCCTCAAACGTGCATGTGTTAGATCATGCAGGACACGATATGAGGTGGGCCATCGTTTAAATAGCATAGCACAAATACGTACCATTCAAAAATTCCCACGTCAACAAATTGTCCATAGTCCAGCCAACCTGATTGTGACTATTTAAAAACTTCCAGATTGGTTATTGCAACCCATGTCCAGGAGGAAGACTTTGGAAACTTTTCCAACTTCTCAGTCTCTGTTGCATCGACGTGATTAAACATAGCGTGTCGAGTGTTGATAGTCATTGTGGATCTTTTGCAAGATCTGCGCATGTCTGGCGGAGCTACGCCGATCCGCAAACACAGCAAACTAACCGGCCTCGGCTTAAGATTTATTTATTATTTATTTATTTATTATTAGAAGAGTTATGATCCGGCAGGTTTCTTTTAAGGTTGTATCCATTAACTTTGCACGAGTAAAACGGCTCTAAACAGCCCTGTTTAGGACGAATGTGCATGCCCATGCGTATCCGTCCACAGAAAAGGAAAGTGTCAGCCCGATTAATATGCTTGACCTGCAGCGAAGTTTCCCACTTGGTGGTGGTGAGAAGCTGCAGTAAAATATTATGCGATCGACGTTCCCAGATTTTCCTGGAGCGATTTGCGAGCGGTACACGCAAAGATATCTCGGAACGTCACTGTGAGCTACAGAAACACCTTGCCACATAACATTAAGTTTTCGATCCGCCTGACGGTTGTGAGAATGGACAACGCATGACTCAGTTTTAAATGGTTTAGGCCTAAGCGAGTTTTCTATAAAGTAGTAATTCCGCGAAATTTTTCGATTGGGTTGTTGAAGCGAGGTCACCCTCGTATGAGAAGCGGGACGTATTTGAGCTGGATGGTTGGTCATTGGTATATTAAATAACAACGGAGCGAAAATGCTACCTTGGGGAAGACCAGTTTTTTGCGGTCTCCAACGACTCTTGTTTTGGAGGAGATGAACCCGAAAACGACGGTTATGTAAAAGTTCACGCAGTATCATGACAAATTTATGTTTGCCGGTCATGGTTTCCATTTTCTATAACATCCGTCTAAGGTTCAGTGTTGTAGGCCAACCACTTGATGAAAAATTAATATTACAATATTTTTACGATCATATTTATAGTTGGTTATAATGGAATGTACGCTAAACTCGTATAGATTGTATTTAGTTAGCGTGAGTACCTGACTTCAGGCGTTCGGCTTATTTTTCAGGTAATTGACGTTGTAGTCGCAGACGCAACACGGCTGCCTGCCTAAAAGGTTCCTTGCTTTCGTCTTGGTCGTAATTGTGTGATGAGATATTACAATTTGCTTTTTACTGCTTTAATGTGGTATTCAGAATATTAATCAACCACTACGGGACCCTCGAATTGGCAGAGCGTATTTACGTAGAGTCTTAAACCTGTGTAAACAGTGTGAGCTTTTTGGTCACTCTACTATAGAACCTAATAACTAGAAACTCCAGTCAAATTGTTTACAATCTTAATATATGCTCTTCATATCAGAGGAAATAAATTGTTTACTCCCCAAATAAGTTATTATTATTGTAATACAGATGACGCAAAAATCCAATAGGCTCACGTCGTTCGCAAAACGACATCAATTACTTTTGGGTCCGTTCTTATACAACTAAGGAAATCGAGCTACAGACATTCATTCTAAAAGACGCAATTAATGTGAAAAAGCAGTCACACAATCATGTGAGGAAAATGAAATAATGTTGAACACAATACAGTAAAATGATTATTACACACATAAAAACACACAGACACGCACACGGACTGCTTCTGCTTCTGTAAGTGAGGAAGTTCACCACGCTTTTTGACATCTGTTTGCATTTCTGCTTCCGTAAGTTTTATAACAAAACTTATTTGGAAGTTTACAACCCTCGCCACGAATGAGGCTTTTGTGATGTGTTAAGTGCAATTATGAAACCATGATCTAATCCTGTTTGGAACTACTCTATAACTGTTAATATCGTTGAGATCTTTATAGTATTTACATTTACACTTCCGCATCGGCTTCCCTTCCTGTTTCCGCTAAGATTTATTTTTGATATCTGCATTACTTTCTGTTTTCGTTAGGACATCAATGTTGCGTCGCTAAAACACACACACACACACACACAC